CATGCTACTCTTTCCGTAAGGACCACACAAACCTGCTAATTATTACGTCAACGTTGTGCCCAGAGGAAAAAGCTACATTTTCAAGCCCGTTAGCATCAAAGCTAATAAGGAAGGCGAAATTGAAGTGATTATTTGTGCAAATCCCCTTCCCTTGTGAACGCGACAGAAGAAAATTGTTGTACACCGAACTGGTGAGGCTTAGTGAAATCAGTCCATCAGAATAAGCAAGGAACAACGTAGCACTTCGATGAGTTTACCTGAGGTTCTTAGCACTAGTGTCACTCACTGTTTCTTTTATTCTCACTGCGGTAGAACGACCATCTTATGGCATGTGACATAGCAGTACCATGTAAGGTGTCGGTTTTGAACATCAGAGGTGCCGGGTTGGATTCCAGCGGACGGCAGCTTCTGCCTCAACCGTGAATTCCCTTGAGCGAGGAATTTCTTGCACGTTGCTTTAGTCCAGGGTTGTTCAGTCGGTAGGGCGTCAGATTCAGAACCCAGAAATCCCGGGTTAGAAATATTGTTAGGTTCCCTCTCTTTTCTTCTTTCAGAGGTTGATAATTGAGTACCACTCTGCAGGAAGGAAACAGGAGACTACACACGATGCTTGTCACATAGCTGCTGTCGACTCTGTCCTTAAAATGCAGTGCACTCCTAGCTGATGACATGGAATTGTAGATCAGCGCCTAACTATTAAGTTTATGAAAAGAACTGTGCCAGAATGGCCTGATTATGAAAGTATAAAGAAGAGCGACACAGCAATGGCGACAAACTTTCCAGTTTCCTTTCCTTAACGCCGTCGCTTTGGCCTGTTTTGGTAGTCTGGCAGCACACAGAATATACTTCCTTCATGTGACCTAGTGGATGGCGTACAATTTCATAGAGGAATTTAACTTTCATAAAAGTTATTATTAAAAAAGTAAATTAAATTGAACAGGCCAATTAGCGAGCAGAACATGATCACTTCACTATGCAGAAAGCGTTTCGAAATGTTATATCACTTTGAAGTTCTCAAAGACTCGGTATGAATCATTTTGTATAAATCCTGTAGATTTACATCACATAGTCGCACCTTGGTCTTACCTTTAGCGGCATAAAGGGGTGGTTATGTAGGATGCAGCTTCAGGGTGTTATGCGACATGTAGTGCATAGATGCTAAACTCAGCAGGAACTGTTCCTCTACTTTAAAATGTACATCTGTACAAAGCTGAAGTTTGATAGTTTGAAATGGAATGGACATGGACGTTTTTTCAGATACCCATGTTCAGAGCAAACTAGTTCTAGTCGATAAGTAGACCTAGGTTGTAAAGTACATAACATTCGTTACAGAGGTTAAATATGTATGATTAATATTGAGAGATGATTTGCACTGGTCATATGATGTTCTGCTAATCTGCCAAAAAATTCAGTGAGCAACCTACTGCCTTCGAGTAACTGCCCAGAGTGAGTATGTCAGAGGAAATTCGGAAGCGATTCATTGATGCTTGCACCCTGTCATTCGTTACTTAAGTGGGGTCAGTGATAATCCTGGGTGTTGCAAGTGCTAATTGCCAGATACCTTGACTGACCTTTCGATCAGTCTTTTGCTGGTGGTAGAAACCAAAATATTCTTGCTTTAATTATAGCCGATTAAGTGTTCTCTGATCTTATCAGTCTCAGCAAAAGATCGTATAATTCTGGATCAGATTCGTACTTTGTTCCAGTCTCTATTTAAATGTTTTCCCACGACAAAGCATAAGATTTAAATATACGTGCATGATCGCAAGAACTGAGTTGTGTAACAGATCGATTATTCAATTCATTGCTTGAGCTCTTTGAAACGTTCAATTAAATCGAAAAAATCTTTTTGTACAATGGCCTGCTTGACAACGCAAGTATCTCCTTCTAAAATGTTCAAAAATATCGTTGGTCTTTCATATAATGCACACAACATAAAGTTAAAACTTTGTGAAAAATTTTTGAGCAAGGTACAGGAAACAATAAGCATATCAACATAATTTATTATGACCTACGGCAGTGCAAAACAGAAACTAAGCAAGGTTCGACCAATACGGCAAAGTATATCGAGGAACGAGAAAATTCGAGAATTGCTCTGAGACGAAGGAGGGAAGAATCCTCCTGTGACTCCTCGAATACTCTCATGGGACCAACTAAGACAGCCACCGCCAAGGTAGCCAATGGAAGATAGAGAAACACCTTTCCGGCAGACCTGCAATTGCATAAGAGTATTTTTTTCATGAAAGCAACGACCAGTGTTTGGAATTATACTTAATCGCATGCAGTCCTGCGGACATCATGGGCTCAAGCATTGCAGTCCATGGCGCAGAGCCTAAACTGAAGATGAGATGCAAATTTTGAAAGTTGAACATTTTAAAAATACCCGTTGTAAACAGAACAGCTTCAGGGTATTGCTGTTACATGAAGGTCTTTAAGATGGATCCAGCTCGATCCCAAACGACAGGATTTGTCCAATAAGGTTCATATGCAAAAGAAATCTTTTGTGGATGTTGGCGATGAGAAACTTTTCAGATAATTCAAGTAAATTCAAGTAATATCTTTACATCCGATTGTTCCCTAAGATTGACGTAAAGGAACAGCGGTGGAAGTTTTAAAATGCTGAACTGTCTTCAAGAAACTCCGCTGTGAGGAAAGGACAACAAACGGCTTGTACACAGCCCAAGCTTCATCATCTACTGTCGTGAAACGGACTGCCGACCTCTGAACACCACCTGATTGGCGGATAGCTCCGAATGCCTCTGAGGGACACAAGTAGACGATTTGACAGAAATTACAAATGATACGATGGCACCTCCGTTTGATGCTTAAAGGCAGAGACTGCGATCGGTACTCTCCGCCAAACAGCAGATAAGGTATCTATAAGAAAGGTGGATGACGGATACCGTCTCCGCGAGTCCTATCGGAATATCGGTCAAACACTGACGCAGGTTCACATTTACGAAGGCTAGCGAAGGGAAATGATCAATATTCGCAAACTCTTCAGGTGGTAGGCGCGAATCGCTGGAGGTGCTTCAAAAAATTCATGAAATATTTAGTTTCACAGATGAACGGTTAAACATTTCTAGAAGTTATTTTCCTCATGTGTCGTGTTCATCAATAAACCGACACTTAAGTGGTTCTGCACACAACTAAACAGACGGAGGGTAGTCCTCTGACTCAACAAGATCAATGTTTGCTTTGATGATGGCCAATGTGGCTTGTCTGAATAGTGAACAGTCCTAGTAGAGACTACCATTCACCTGTTTCGTTGTGTACAGAACCGTTTAAGTGTCGGCTTATTTGAAGTTGGGACATCTTGGACTGAGTCAGACGCTGCCTCGACCTCTCTCACAGAATTGTACAAAG